GCGCTGCGGCTCCCCCGAGGCATCACTGCGGCGGCTGCTGGGCGCGGGCGAGCGGACCCGGAGGCGGCGACGGCGCTCCTGTCTCCGGGGCCCTCGTCCCGGCGGGAGCCAAGGGCGGGTAGGGGCGGAGCCTCGGGGACACGCCCCCGGCGAGAGGCGCGGGCCCCGGGCGCACCTTCCACCGAGCCTGTCCCGGGACCTCTCCATTCCAGCATCCGCTGGCTCCAACGCCCACCCGAGCTGCGAACGCGCCCCTGCGCCCTGCGTGGGCCCGAGCCGAGCCGGGCCTTAGAGACACGGCGCAAACGTGGCCAAGCGCTGAGGATTTCAGCAGGGGCGACAGAGCCAGTCCTCGTGTTAACAAGGCGGCTGTCGAGGGTACAGGGAGCCGCGGTCTGAGATCAGCCGGCGGGCACACGAGGCGCCAGGCAGGGCCGGGCTCTCTCCTCCTGGGAGACGGAATCTGTGGCCTGGGTCTCGGGTAGGTGGAGCTGGCACGTGGGAACCCGGAGAGGGCCCGTGACCCGTCTCCAGACGCCCCGCCAGGTCCCGCTTGGACTTTTGGGTAGCCTGAGGCCCCCAGCAACGCGCCCAACCCGTGGTCTGCGGGCCCACCCCGCCTAGGTCCCGGATGCAAGGGGCAGCGCCCCGTGCGCGCAGTGTTTACGCTCTGTTCTCGCAGTTTGCAGCACAAGGGCCGGGCCAACGCATTGAGTTGGCTTTCTGTGTCCTCCCCTATCACTGTATCCAAAGGTCCCTAGGTGGCGCAAAAGGTTAGCGCTCAACTGCCAACCTACATGTTGGGGATCCAGGCCTAGTAGGTGGCCAGGGCAGAAAGTCCTGACCATCTGGTTCCAAATGGATTTCAGCTAAGAAAACCCGGTGGGGCATATCTCTACTCTCTAACGCACCTGGCTGCCATGAGTCCGAACTGACTTTACAGCAGTGGGTTTTTTATTGCTATATCCCGTGTGCCTGTGGGAGCCTGTTGTTGTTGTTGTTAGGTGCCATAGAGTCGTTTTCGACTCATAGCGACCCCATGCACAGCAGAACGAAACACCGCCCCATCCCGTGCCAGCTCCACAATCCTTGCTATACTTGAGCCTTGAGCCCATCGTCGCAGCCATTGTGTCAATCCATCAATCCATCTTGTCGAAGGCCTCCCCCTCTTTTGTCAACCCTCCACCCCACCAAGCATGACATCCTTCTCAGGGAATGGTCCCCTCTGACAACATGACCAAAGTGGGTGAGACGAAGTCTGGCCATCCTCGCTTCCAAGGAGCATCTCAGCTGCACTTCCTCCAGGACAGATCTGTTAGTTCTTTTGGCAGTCCATGGTACCTTCCTCATTCTTCACCAGCATCACAACTCAAGAGCATCAACTCTTCTTCAGTCTTCCTTATTAATGAATAAGGAAGATATCCAGCTGTCACATGCATACGAGAGGATTGGAAATATCATGGCCTGTGTCAGGCGCACCTTAGTCCTCAAGGAGGCATCCTTGCTCCTCAGCACTTGAAGAGTGGCCAACCTGCCCAGTGCCACACGTCATCTAATGTCCTGACTGCTGCTTCCATTGGCCTCGATTGTAGAACCAAGGAATGTGAATTCTTTGACAACCTCAATCTTTTCTCCGTTTATTGTGATGCTGCTTATTGGTCCAGTTGTGAGGATTTCTGTTTTCTTTGTAATGAGATACTGCAGACTGTATTCTTCAATCTTTATCAGTAAGTGCCTCAAGTCATCCTCACTTTCAGCGAGCAAAGTTGTATCATCAGCGTGTCTCAGTTGTTAATGATTCTTCCTCCAATCCTGATCCACGTTTTTCTTCATATAGTCCAGCTTCTCAGATTGTGGAAGCCTATGTATGCACCAACATTGCAGGAAAATGGGATTGGCTGCAGACTTTTGAGAGGGGCTTGGCTTCTTGGTTAGGGCAGCTGTGTTCCAGGCCCCCTGGCAGAGGGTTATGGGCACCTCAGCAGGAGTCATCGTTTGGTGCCCTGGAGTCCATTTTGACCCATAGCAACCCCCTGTGATGGAGTGGAACCACCCCCAAGGGTTTTCTAGCTGTAACCCTTAAAGAACCAGGTCACCAAATCTTTCTCCCAAAAACCACGGGGTGGATTTGAACCAACAATCTTTGGGTTAATAGCGGATGTGGCTGCCAAGGCTCCTTATGGGCTGACCAAAACCAAGCTGCCTTCCAGTGGATTCTGACCCACAGCGTCCCTAGAGGACAGAGTGGAACTGCACCACAGGGTCTCCAAGGCTGTCAGTCTTCAGGGAAGCAAAGCCCAAAACACACCCACTGCCTGGAGTCCATTCTGACCCACAGCGCCCCTAGAGGACAGAGTGAAACTACCCCACAGGGTTCCCAAGGCTGTCAGTCTTCACAGAAGCAGACTGCCTCATCTTTCTTCCATGGAGCAGCAGCTGGTAGCTTCCAATCACCAACCTCTGGGTTAGCAACCAGGTGTTTTAATCACTGTGCCACCAGAGCTCCTTTTGGGAGCAAGCAGGAGGGCGAACACCCCAGGAGCAAAAACATCTCCTGGGAGTGGGGGTGCCAGTTACATGTGGGGAGAGGAGACCTCTCTGGAGAGGAAGAGGTGGGAGACAAGGCAGGGGGCTGGGCAGTCTGAGTCCAGCTCTGCACCCACGTGCTCC